AAAGCAGGGTTGCAAAGGGCTAATTGTATATCCATGCTCGTAACAGCATTGTTCATGATAGCCAAAAACTGGAAACAACTGAAGTGTCCGTCGATGGATGAATGAATAAACAAAGTGTAGTATACACATATAAGGGAATAATATTTAACCTCAAAAAGAAGGAAATTATGGCACATGCCTCAACGTGAATGAAACTCGAGGACATTATGCTAAGTGAAATGAGCCATTCACAAAAAGACAAATACAGTGATTCCACATATATGAGATATCTAGAGTAGTCAAATTCATAAAAACAAAGTAGAATGATGTTTGTGAGGGGATGAGGGGAGGGGGAAATGGGGAATCATGAAAGATGAAAAAGTTATATGTAGGAGGCTCAGGTTACCCTACTTCTTTTCCTAGTCATAACCCCTACCTTAATTCAACATGTTGTTATTGGTTGTTAAAAAAAAAAAAAACCATTGTAACGTATGCTATATTTTAGACTGTAGACTCCCAATATACTTCATGAGAAACAAACAAACCACTATGAAGATATTCCTGTGAAAACTTGGATAACAAATTTGGAAAGACTGGTTTACAGATTATAAGAAGAATAAAAGGAATATTCTTGCCTATAAGTTACATATGTCTTGTTTTTAATTTTTAAATAAATGAACTATTGATGTACATTTTTGGTGCTAAAACTTCGAGGATGTGAATATATTATTCAGATGAGCTTGGTATTTCCAAATATCCAGATGTGTCCATTTAAAGGTGTCATTTCTGTGATTTGTTGTATGGTATAAATTGGATGTTTTTAGTATCTTTTGGAACTAATCGACTTTTTTGTAGTTGGAAAATGAGACTCAATGATAAATGTTTTTTCCCATAAGAAAAGCCTGGTAGGTTTTTAGTTTGCTTGTTTGTTTGTTTGTTTGGTTTTAAAGAAATAAGAGGATTCGAGCTCTAGAACACCTAAAGGAAACAATGACAAGACTTTAAGGATTTCTGATATTCAGACTGAGGTCCAGAGTCTTTTTAGGGGAGTTGCCAAAGATAAAGCCCCACCTAAAATTGCTGGGAGCCAGACTTCATTCCACAATGGAGTCCTGTTGAAACATGCTTTCAAGTCATGTGTTTCAGAAAGATAAAATGAAGGCCCCAAGTGACTGTTTATCATAGGTATGACTAGATGTTCAAACCTTTTATACTAGGACTGGGCTTTGTAACATACAAAGGGAAACTCTTAAACCTGTGTTTAACTGAAAGAGCCTTAATTGGCAGCGTCCATAGTTTCGTTGCATTGCATCACTAGGGTTCCTGTGAAATATTTGTGTTCTATAGGACAGATTAATTTAGATTAAAATCTCGAGGCACTAATTTAAGAGTATGTCTTACAATACTGTAAATTGAGACAGAACAGATAATAACCTTAAGTAGAGAATTGTTTGAAATGTCTTTGATCTAAACACTTCTTGTGATTTTCAAGGCAGGGTGTTTTTTCTTACCTTATATAATGTTGTAGTTTATTTGTTTATATCATTCTCTGGAATGTCTTATGCTTATTTGGGACCAGAGTTCCTGACGTAGCTAATCTCAAAGTATTTCACCTAATGACCTTTGAGATGGTATGTTCCAGTGAAGGATGGTTAAAGACTGAGGGGAAGGTCCCCAGATTATGCTTAATACCGGTTCATAATGTTCATCAACCTAACTCACAGTTGAATTACTGAAGGTAATGAGATTTTTGGCAAGATTTTGGTTTTTAAGTCATTAATTCCAAGCTCACTAGTTTAGGACTCATACCGTATCTAGATATTGGAGGTTTTAAAGAAAACCCAGTTTGTTAACCAGCCTAATAAAATCTAAAGAATGGTAATTCTTATGTAGAACCAACTTCGATCTATAGGCCTCATTTACATGGAATCAGGGTTAGTGCGGTCATGGGAATTCATACTGCTTAACCTGTACTTTGGTATGATGCTGCTAACAAGTCATTTCAATCTACTCTAGCCTTTAAACAAAGGAGAACTAGACCTCTAGTGTAAGTGCAAAAATACCGCAACTAAAACTGAATAATAATGATTATTGCATATCCCATGGAGGAAAACCATGCATTCTTCAAAAATCACATTGTATAAAAGAGTTATATTGTGGAAGAATTTTGTTGAAGTGGCAAAATATTCACAATGAATTGTTAAATGTTTTTTAAAGAGCCATAAAGTAATGTGTACAGAATAATAAT